TATATACCTGTGTGCATCCTTATTAGATTATGTAGAATGATAGCTCTTTCTTGAATGTCGGATTAAATGAATTGATGGTGTCAGAAACTACTGTGTAAATTACTATGTAAAAGGGTGGCTTTTCATTTTTGGCAGGACTGCGAATTTGTCATTTGTGTTAAGATCCTATGCGCTTAAACAGATATGCGACGCATTCGCGCGAGATAGCCTACTGCCGGACGCGCCTGACGGACTTCAATATATCAGGCTGCTGGCGATCACAGACGACTCGAATAAGGTGCGTTGCCCTCTACACCGAAATGTATCTAGTCAGAAGAATCTCACAAGTACCGAATACAATGACATCTGATCCTTTTACAACTCCCCTACCCCAAAAAAGAAACATCGATGCTATGCACTGTGTTCGAATTGTACGGGTGTCTTTGTTTTGCGTTGCATCATTGACTTTGCGCATGGTAATGCCACAAAGAATTGCCGGAATAATATCTGTTCCGCTAGCGGACACAAGTGCATATCATATTATATGATTGAAAAATTTCTGTTTGAATTCACGGTGGGGGACGGCCCGGTGATTTTCGTTTCTCGTCTGCGGTGAGCGGGCTAGTACCGAGTACTGTCCAGGACTACAGGTGCTGGGTGGTGATGGGGCTGTCGCGACATCACCGAGCAACGCTTGCCAGGTGTGTGATTACTTTTCCTCAACATGTCACCATAGACATAGCTGCGTAAATGGCGATGCCACGTGAATGCATGCTTTTTACGTTATAACAATTTTTAGCCTCATATCTTGACATGGTCAGATGCAGCTTGTAGAAATCGCATGATCGTCGGCCGTTGGCGTCGCGTCCGAGCGTCCGAGAACGTGCCGAGCGTGCCGTCCGTATGGCCGTACCGTGCAAGCAGTTTGGGCACAAATTTAACCGCTTGACGTACGGATCCACGATATTCGGGAGGTGGGGGGTAATCCGAAAACGAGTTGGGAATGTCGAAGCTAGGGGGTCAAAAAGGTCAAAGGTCAAGAGGTGTAAAATAAGGGGGACATTCCCTCGCTTAACTTAAGGTATAGGGAGGAATGCAGGAATTCGGCACAACTCTAACGGCTGCGAGCTAGGCCTCGTGATGTTGGGTGATAAGCATCATGGTAAGGGAATATCATCACTGTGCCCGAAATTGGAGGTCACAGGTCAAAGGTCAATGGGCACAGGCAGATTTTAGAATTTTTCTGAAGGACATGGTCTGACGAGCGATTGAAAAACTTTTTTGTTTCAGCGGCGGTACGTCTAGCATTTTTATGGCATTATTGAAAGGGACGCATGAAATTACTTATCTGCCTGACGTGGCGAAGAGTAGTGTCAGATAAGCTTTTGCACCCTCAAGGGAGGGTTCAACTGGATTTGTTTGACTGTCTGTAGAAAGAATTTGACTGCCGGTTTCCTGTAGATCTTACTGCCTGATGTATGACGACAATGTCACAGCTTGAATTTCAAAAAGCTAAATTTTGGCTTAAAGAGAGGTTATGGCTCCTTAAATCGTTATAATGTTCTATAGGCCGATTCGTAAGCTGTCAGTATGTTACATGTACCAGATGCGACTGCCAGTGGCTACTGCCAGTGCATGTGTGTTGGTGTGGTAGTGTACAATGTGATTTTGCCTGCGTTAATTTGTATAGGCTGCAGCTTCTATTGCCAGCCGTGTGGTTGCCTAGGTAATGGATGAGTTGCTACTAATTCTGTCTTGCAAAATGATTGTTGCTAGTTCAGTAATCGAGGGAGCTTCTGCATCTTTAATCTGAGACACTTAAAGTAACGTGTACGGCGCCATCTTCGTGGGTGCAACTTTCATAACGATCCCAACGAACATTCCTTTGAGACGGTTCCTGATACCACCTGTGCATTCCACTGTTTCGCGCGTGTATGGCTGAACACATTTGGAGACTAACAGGGTTTACTTAGAATCCCACCACTCGCCACGCACAGGTCACCGCAGTAGACGTGATTGAGCGCTGTCGCTCGCGGCACTGCTCGCTATGTTTAGTAAATTGTTTTATTGAGCTGGCGCAACCACGACTTGCGTGTACTGGATTGGTATTACGTTAAAGGCTTCGACTTAGTTTTTTCTTTTTATTTTAAATGACTGCGTAAGTTAAAGTCGTCTGTTAACAGAAGTCACGTGATACATGTGCTTATGTAATTCGGTCAGGTATTTAGCACGCTCTACACCGCTTACAACACCTTTAGGTTGCGGCTTGCAGTGGGTACTGTCGACTCGAGCAAGGCCTAGACTACATTCCTCTAAAAAGGCGAGCGAGCAGTGGAGGCTTACTTGAAGAGCTAATGCACCGACTGCACCGTGCAGATCAGCTCGATCATTCTGTATTAGTGATCTCCGGAGTGAGGAGTGAAGACTGTTACTCTGTTGTATAGCATTGATAGCTAGGTAGGTGACGTCTAGATGATCCTGGTGATCTAGACCGAATAATTCTTGTCCCATATAAACCTTTTTATATTTTGGTGAGGGTTATATTGGAGTAGATATAGCCAATATAACCCTCACCAAAATATAAAAAAGGTTATATGGGACAGAGATTATTCGGTCTACCTGTGATCTTGCCTAATCATTTTCTGCCTGTGTGAGTGTGGTCAGCACTAACAAAGCGAGAAAGAAGAGGTTGATAGGAGAGAATGAGAGAAAGACACAGAGTGAGATTAGAGAAGAGTGAAAGAGAGATATTTATTAGGTAATGATATGCTAATTTGCATTGAAGTTTTGTATCAATTAGACTATGAGGTGCGCTAGCACGTAGAAATGATCACCCGTGTGTTTTATGATCCAGTCAGTCACAACAATAATACCATACGAATAATTATAATATAATGTTATAATAACCTATATATAATATATTAGACAAGTTTATGAGCGATAGATGGCGCCACGACGCATGACTTTTATTACACAATTCGTGTTTTTGGAATGACTCTAATTGCGTATTCACGTAATCACATAATGAGAAAATGTAGCTACAATAACATCTACTTGAAATCCGTAGTTTATGTGATGCCCCCTTCTTGGCGTTGATGCAAAATGTTGGTTATTAAAATTCAAGTTGATTCCACTTGTGTAGGGGCAATCAGAGGCCAATAAAATGTGTAAGAACTTGTGGATGACTTCGAAGACAATAAGGTGCCTTAAAATCAGCCATATCGCTGTCTTTGAATTCTAAACGTAAATTGATCACTAAATCACTTCTTTACTTTAGATACTTAATACGACGCAAAATTGTATCACTTCTAATTATTACTGATAATTTTTGATTGCAGGTATATGATCCTTCTTGTATACGCGAATTAGTGAAATTGTACCTTACCCACTATTGAGACATTGTCCCAATGAACTGTGTACATAAATTTGATATTAGAAGCACAAAGATGGTAGTTGTGGGTCTATAGCCTTTGACTGGCACTTTAAATTTACCCCCTCCTATAACAAGAATGAAACGACTGGAATTGCGATTTCGTCGTTGCTTAAGTGCATGCGACGCTACGTGGCGCTCGAAAGAATGCCAGGCGGTTTCGAGTTAGATCGGTGGTTGACCCTCCCTTCTCCTCCTGCCCTTCTCCTCCCTCCTCTCCTCTCTTCACTTCGCAGTAGGGAGCTGAGGCGTGCATGTTTGTTCGTGTGAGACAAGTGGTCATCAGAGTGCTATTGATCGCTGTGGCTGTGCGCTCTCTTTACCGTGGTGGGAACACAGCCGTCTGCTGTCTCTCCTCCTCCCTTCTTTCTCCCCCTTCCCTCCGCCTCCTCCTCCTCTTCCTCCTTCGTTTCACACTCGTGTGGATGTCGATTCGGCGGGAGCAGAACCGCAACAACATTGCCCGACAAACGAGTGAGCTCGGAGATTGCCGGAGATATTGCGTGAGTGAACGCGCGCTGGTCGCCCGTGGGTTGACGCCCACCTCTGTGCCAGTCGTGTCTGTCTGTCGATCGTCCTCCAGTGTTCGCGATCAAGCCGTTGCCTCACACCGACTGCTTTACAGTAGCAATGATGATGACCGTTGCCGCACCACACCCACACCATTGCGCTACGACAATGACGATGATGCTGACGACAATGACGACGACGGTGACGACGATGACGATGATGCTGCCGACGACGATGAAACTTGGACGCACGACGGCGAGCGACGATGCTGCGACGACGATGACACTGACGATGCGTGCCGACGCCGACGACGACGACACTGACGATGCCTGCCTGACGCCGGACGACGACGACACTGACGATGCTGCCGACGCCGACGACGACGACACTGACGATGCTGCCGACGACGACGACACTGACGACGACGGCGACGGCGACGACGACGACGAAGTCCGGAGCACACATTTGCAAAACCAGTACCCCCCGCCCCCGAGGACATCTGTCACCGCCCTTCATTGCATACATTGCGTGTTCAGTGAAATTAATTAATTAAAGAGACTCGGTTTTTCTTGGCGAAAGATTCCTGTTACTTGCTAAGCTTTACGCTGCTGCACTCGCTATATGCAGCTAGATCGATGCAGCCGTCCCGTTTTCTTTTCTTCGCGTAAATCGCGTGCGACACAAAAGAAATGCAACCAGTTCGTTCGCCTATCGATACGATGCGACGTTGAATCCTCACCCCCCCCCCCTCACCCCCTCTCCGTCTCGATCAACTGTCGGGGATTCCATCACACGCCCCGCGCGCTCAAACCGAACATCACAAACGGAAGAAGCAACGTGAATATTCATGATTACGTAGACTGCCCCGCGGGCGACCGCCGCCTGGCAGCGGGACACTCACCGGTGGCACACTCACCGCCTTAGGGGGAAGTCTAAATAGGGAGGGAGGGAGGGAGGTAGGGGGCGATTGCCATCGGGGTGAATGCGTGAGTCATGCGTGATACAGCATGGTATAGGGAAGAATCACCACGGCGTCGCCTGTTAGCGATTTCCACGACATAATCCTTATTGACCGAGGTGGTCGCTTCGGCGATGATTTATGCTAGTTGAAAGCCATATTTCAATCTGAAATTGATGGTTGTCTTTGTGGGATAAGGATTTCAATTTTCCCCGCGAAGCTAACGCGCCCGGAATTTCGGTCATGGCCGTGTACTAAACTAGCGCTAAGATAAACGGCCTGCTCTGTAACCGCGTTCACGAGGACAAGTTCCCGCTGACATCCTCGGCGAACGGATTTTGACGCCGTTTCGGGAGGCGAAATTGCCGTATTTTATGCGAAGTCGGGTCGACGCTTATCCGAAGTCGAGAGCTGATTCAGATTTAAGGGGTTTCGGCTGCCGTCTCCACGCGAAGGTGCCTATTGCTCGCTTACAAGAGTCTGCTTCTCTCCTCCACGGAGTTGTTAAGTAGCGAGTGTTGAGAGACGTGGTTGATATCGGCATCCGCAGTAGAAATCTTAATAGTAGACGCGCGTGGAAATTTGAATTACTGCCCACGGACAGTCGGCATGTGACGTCAGACGGGGGGCATTAATGCGTTTAGTTTGTCTGCTGGTGATTGTAAAACGCCTGCTCTTGCCCTCTGTAATGTCATTGGCGTTACTCGTTTGCTTCTGTTGTTTCCGCAATGGAAATGTGGGCCGCCGGTGTGAGTGCAGCAGCTACGCTGATGCGGTGTGCGGCTGTGGTGGGTGTCTGCTCTGTTTGTTATATTTTAAGTAAGCTGTTGTAGTCGCTGACACGAGATTGATGTATGGCGCGTATCATAACTCGAGTGCAATGTACGTTTGTATCCTATGTCTAAAGATTTAACGTGTTATATTTATACGGATCGTATATACCTACTAGTATATGATTGTGATTGAAAACGACTAGTAAATTGTTATTCATTTATCAAAAATGACTCACGTGTTATGCGTTTAGTGTTGGTTGGTAGACGTGTGCAATTTTTCCATCAGCTGTTTACGTTATAACGAGGTTCTAGATTTGCTCCCTCATCGCCACGCATTTCGATATTAAATGACAAGTAATCCGTCATTTTGAGTCACGGCTTAAGCCATTATCTCCGGGCTTGTTAAGCTTATTAGACCAGCGTTCGCATCAGGTATCCCCTAATTATTTATGCTAGTAATTTTTCGTGGGAGATTATAAGCAGATCTGCTGGTCCTACCGCCTGGCGGCATCATTATCCCCTTTTTTCGCAACATAATTTGTGATATCCTGTAAAACCAGTGGCGGTCTCACGGTCTCTTGCGTTTGGTTATTAGCGAAAAAGTAGATCCCACGCAATTATTAAAATGAGTCGTATAGTAGTAGTAGTGTGTCGGGGGTGATTTTCTGTTGTCCGGTCGGCTATAGCGAAGATGAATGCAGCGGAAATGAATCTGGAGTGAGCATTACTGCTTCCGGCGACCCGGTAACGTTCCCCGATAAGGTTGGCGTGATCACGTGCCGGTTTCCTGACGCTGTCGAGCCCCGCAGAAGCCACGAACAAATCAGATGGAAGAGGTAGGTGTGAACGAGGTGGGATGTGAGTGAGATGTGGGGGCCGGTGCGGCGTGGGGCGAGAGGCATGGGTGAGATGTGGGGAGGGTGCGGCGTGGGGGAGTGAGAGGAGAGAGATGTGGGGGAGGGTGCGGCGTGTGGGGAGAATTGGGAGAGGAGAGAGACATGGGTGAGATGTGGGGGAGGGCGCGGCGTGTGGGGAAAATTGGGAGAGGGGAGAGGCATGGGTGAGATGTGGGAGAGGAGAGAGACATGGGTGAGATGTGGGGGAGGGAGAACGAACGAAAGAACGAAAAGAAGAAAGAAATAAAGCGCACCACCCTGAGGGAATATTGTAATAGATAAAGGAGATAGAAATGGATGAAAATATGGGGCGTACGGGCGGGGGGGGCGCAAGCGAAAGAAAAATAGAAAATGATGAACATAGACACGAAAGAAATAGAAATGCGTGTCTTGGAACGAGGCAGCCACGAAAGATTCCGCAGTTTACCATGATGCATAAATTACACTTGTCGCTTCTAGCGCAATCATCGCGTAGATTTTCTCATCCCAACATCCAACCC